TCCTCACAGCGTTACTGGAGGCCAAGGTAATGCCATCCAGAGTAAGAATCTGGTTAGATACCATATTTCTAAGATTTTCAGGGCCAAGTACAATAATCTCAGTTTTATCTGAATTAACTAAGAGGCTGAAGGCAAAGCTCAGAAAAAAAGAGGTGTGGCCAATTATTCTTATCTGTATAGTGTGTGCAGTGGCAAGAGATTTTTTTTCTTGCAATCCTCTACATTTGCTTCTGATGTGGAAACTGAACTTCACATACAGTCTTTATATTTACTACTGCTGTTGGTTGCAGAAGAGAATATTGCTGCTATCTAAACATTCAGTCCCATACTGATGTTGTCTCAACGGTAATGCTGTACACAGACTTTTTAGTAATTCAATTATACTTCATATTTTCATACAAAAATCAGCAATAACTTTAAGAATGCTTGTACAATTCATATACTTTAAGACATATATGGCACTACTTGTATATATCTCATGCAATTCAGAGCTGTAGTTTGATACAATATATATGTATACTCATACCTGTACGTCATATTCTTATATCTCCCTATTTTCTCTTATTTTTGATTCACTATAGTTTTGCACTGTGGCTGGGGAATTTTTTTTTAATTCTTCTATATTCTGTATATGTTGCAGAACTGACAATAACATTGACTTTGACTTGCTCTGACTTCCTTGACTTGATTTAACGAGACCAAATCCCACTATACTTCAGCTTTAGTTGACTTCTGTAAAAAGTGGAACCGGGTATTTAAACAAACTGTCACTCTATGCCACAATATTCAAGAACAAGTGAAGATCATTTTATTTTGGTGGCTCATTCCTACCTACTTTGCCAATAAGGAGCAAGTGGATTTCAGGTTGTCTAAAGGGCTTGGAAAGAAAAGCGTCTGGACTTCTTTAAGTTGCTTGAAGATGTTTCACCTCTCATCCGAGAAGCTTTCAGGTTGATGATACGATAGTGCTCCCCAGTGGACAAATGCCCGTTTTGCATGCTTTAATTGTACACTGAGTTGTACAAATAGTCTATTATGGTAGTCTATTATAATGCCTCACACAACACGAGCAGTCTGTTATACTCTTTTATTGCACACATAGCTTAGCATGAACTTGATATATCATAGGGTATGTCATTATTAGAATCTGGAGTCCCTATTTATTCCCCTTGAAGTGCATTAAAATTGTGTTGCAGTTTCCATGTCCAAGTCAAACACGACTATTTAGTGTTTTCATTATGGCATTGTCATCAAAATACCATATTTCAATTAATTTTGCACTTAAATAGAATCGGATGATAAATATACGGAAAGGGTATTTAATAACCCCCGCCTTCTTGCGACGCAGTCGTTGTTTGGCCCGTGACGCTGCTTGTACACGTAGCCTAGTAGGATGTGTTCATTGAAGATGGTGGCGGTGTGTCACACTCACTGTCCAGCATACTTGTAAGAATTTATTCATTTCTGTACACATTTCCGACAGCGGGTAAGAGTATATCTGCAACACAATTAACAATGTTTTACTCTAGTTGTTTTAATCCGGTGTCTGTGGCAGGCAGGGAACTGTTACCTTGTGATTAGCGCAGGCTAGTTAGCCAGGAATGCTAAGTAAGCAGCAGTGCTAATGCTAGCTGACCAGGCTGTGAACCTGTTAAATTATGGTCGACGAGTGGCCAGCGACTTGTAACTTATCGCGGTGTAACCATGTCAATGTTGAGTTTGTGCCGAAATTTTACGCCTTTCGTGACTCACAGAACTGCTGGTGTAAGGACGAATTCGGGCAGACTTTAGGTGTTAGTGATTTGCTGGCTCCGGCGTTTGGGACATACGGAGCACCGAACGGTTCCCGTTAGCTGTTGTACCAATCACCGGACCTTTTCCCGACTGTCGCTTAATGTGTAACACTATCTCAATGTCGTGCCAGACCAAAGAGATTTAGCAGCCATCTATATTGGAACAACTGGCAAATAGTGATAAGAAGTAGGGAGCGTATGTCTAACAACGCTAACTTTGTGACTTTTCTAAGTTGGCAGATCTGCTGTGCTAACGATACGAAGCTTAAGAGGGTGCAACGGCTCTTGGTAAATTTATATCCTAGAGCGCCGGGATCCGGGACCTCCCCGGTAGAGCCCGTCTGGCCAAATGTACTTCCCTACGTTACATTAGTTCCGTGTCTTCTTTCTCTCCAAATCTAGCATTTGAAATGCTTATTGACAGGCCGTGTTAGCTTGACTCAACTTCCTACTGAGACACGCTCAGTATCTCTGTTTGACAAATAATATACATGGCCTTGATCTTAATACTACGTATTACATTTGTAGTGGCGTGATTTAAATGACTGTCCACTATTAACTTTTGCATTTCAACTGAGAAAGCTGTACACATGTTGTATAAGGGTAGCGGCACGACTCATGTGACAGTTACCAGCTAAGTGTAAATAATTTTAATCATAGCTTCCACCCCTGTTTGGCTGATTTCATCCTTACCTGAACTCAAGAAACAACTATCGATGCAATGGCACTGTGGTCTCTTGTCAGTAGAGCAGTTCAGTTTGACTTTCTACTAAAAGCTGCATTTGACGCAAAAGCAGGTGCTTTTTTTTTAAAGAAACTATTTAGCTACTCAACTTTGCAGCCTCCATGAGATCCGTGATGTTAACTTAAGTTTCCTGTTTTTGTTTATTTTTTAAGGAAATTTTCATAAATTTCATATATTATATTTTCCTCACCTGGGTGATATACACTATACAAGTGTATAGACTTACATCAGTGCTTTGGTTCATAATATATTACCAGTAAGATGACCATCAAATGCTCTACAGACCATTTAATTAACAGTAGATAGTATACTAGTATACCAAGTATGCATCACAGTAAATCAGGTGTGTTGTATTGAATTGAGCACTGTATGTATTTACCCACCACAGCATCTTGAGGGCTGATGTAGAACTTGCCACGTTGTACGTTTGGTTTGAATAGGACCACAGGCTAAAATGCAAACAAAGGTGTGGTAAAGTATCCCAAAGAGGCAGGGCTTTTTGTTAATCACTTCCTCTTTCTTGTCTCTATTCAGCTACGCCTGACTTCAGTCTTCAGTGAGATCTCTTAGAGTGACCTGGTCCTCGGACCTGTTAACTCTGCGGACATGCAGCCCCCTCCCCGGACTGGACGACCAGGAGCCTCTGGCCCTCCTCCTTCTGGGCCCAATATGTTCCGCAGGACCAGGCCTTACAAGCATGCTGCTGCAGCTCCTGCCACAATGCCTCCTGTTGCTCAACCCATGACAGACCCTTTTGCTTTTAGTAGAGCTCCTCCCCCTATGGCTGCAGGTGGCCTCCCAACAGTATCTAACAGCAACCCTGCACCAGTGCAAACACCGTCTAATGCCATGTACCATCAACCTGGCTCAGGGCTGCCTCCGCAACCACAGACACTGGAGGGTGCCACAGCTGCTGCTTCTGGAGTGACCCTCTTCAACCCTCACAGTACACCACCCCTTGGTCCAACTGGATACGTATCCTCACATAATGAACAGGGTTATTTTAATTCAAGAGAACAGATACCATCCGCATCCACAGAGTCAGCACCTATGGCTACAGCCTCAGAACCTAGTCAGACACCTTTGAACCCTGAATTTCAAGGACAGTCTGGTCCTCTGCCAGTGCCCTTCCAGCCACTGCCACCGGTCACCACCACCTCTTCCCAGTGGGCCCCTGATCACGGAAGTCGCCCCCCATCAGTTCAGAACTATTTCCAGCCTACTAGTGACCCTGTACCACAGCCATTTAATATGCCTCCACAAACCCAGATGTACCCCTCCCACAGCCCATCACCCCTTCACAACACCCCTACCCCTCCGACCCAACCTGCACATCTTCAGAATCAGGCTTCTCTTCCTTCTCAAAATCCACTAAAACCTCTTACTTCTCAGTGGCCAGACCCAAATGGTCCCCAACAGCATAATTCCCATTTCCAAACACAGAGTTACTTCAGTCAGAGCTCTGCTGCACCAGATCTTTGGTTTAACCAGCCCCCACAGGACTCAGGCTACCATCAAATGGGTACTGGTATGGGTCATCCTCAGCCCCTTCTTGACGCTGCTGGATCTCAGCCTGGGCCTGGGCCTGGGCCTAGTTCTAGTACTGTCCCAGCCCCACTTCCACATTACCAGGAATCCGGTACACTTTCAATGTTCTTCAAAGACAATGATGTGGAAAATGAGGAAACTCTGTCTGCAGAGAGAAATAAGGCAGTAAATGGTATTGCTGGAACTTTTCAACTTCACAGCAACCAGCAGGCACACAGTAGTCATGCAGATGTTTCTTCAGATTACCAAGGAGCTTTTCTTCAAGATCACTCACAAGTACCTTACATGATTGATGGCAATCAACCATCACAGGGAAATGCTCAGAAGCCATCTGATTCACAGTTTGACCATGTAGAGAATTTGGAGTGTGTTCCAAACCAAGAAGTATTACCCAGTGAAATCCATAGTAGTCCTGCTGCTACTGCACCCCACAGTGCTGAGCAGTTTGAAACTGGACCCAACCTGGAGACTCCAGATTCAATTCCCAGACCAATGAGATCTGCCAGTGTGTCGTCCAACTACAGCAACATAAGCCATGGGAGTGGAACAGGCACTCGGCGACACCAGGGGGTGGTGGGCACCTTTATTCAACAGGAAAGTTCACGACTCTCTGATGATCCTAATCAGCCTGTTGTTGCTGCTGCTGCAACTGGAGGCTACTTTGAACAGATTGACACTTCTCCAGCTGGAGATGTGGGTGTACAGCAGAGCTCTCTGGAGCAGATGTGGCCCCCCACGCCTAGCCCTCCCAAACCAACCGGTATCTTTCAGGCCAGTGCTAACAGCTCTTTCGAACCTGTGCGCTCACATGGGGTCGGGGTGCGTCCTGCTGAGATTGACAGGGCTAAAATGGTAGCAGAAAGGGGTGCAGATTGTACACCAGGTAATATGGAGCAGCCACCAGACAATATGGAAAATGTTTATGGCTCAGGGCACCCTCTGCCTGCAGGTGCTGGAGGTGGCGTACCTCCTTTGACACACCCAGTGGTCTATTCTCACTCTCGACCTTCATCCCGTGCTCATGGAGTTAATCAGCCCTGTGAGAGTCCTGCCACTACTCTGTGGGCTCAGAATGATCCTACGACCTTGGGCGGTAACATCCTCCTCGCCCCTGCTGCCCCAGTAGTTCTTGCCCCATTACGAGAGCCAAGTGCTGATGTTATCCAACCTCCAGAGGATGGTCCATTGGACCTGCAGCCCTCCCAAAGAACCCAGCCACCTTCGCATCAGCACTCAGAGAATCTAGAGAACCCGCCAAAGGTGAGTGAGGCAGAGCCAAGTGACTCTCAAGGCAACCTGGGCTATGCATCTCTCCTTGTGTCTGGCTCGCTTCACCAACCTGTTTTCATTGCCCCGCCAGTGTCCAATTACAGTGTGATTCCCCCTAGTACCACTCCTCAAGCAGCCACTCAAAGTAGCCTTAGGGAAACTACCCCACCTGTGAGATTGATTGCACAGGGGCAGGGTCCCACTACCTCCCAACCAGCTTCAGTAACATGTAATCAAAATCCACTTTTTTCTCCTGGAATCCTGAGTTTCAATGTTTCGGCTTCTAATCAGAGTCCGCTCAATCTGACTCGAGACAACACAGCAGCTACGACATCAGAAATCACAGCATCGCCGCATCCCCAGCCTGTCCGCCCTCCTCTTTCAAGGGGCCAATCAGTGGCTGGAGAGAGTAACTCTGCTCTCCAAGTTAATCTGCAAGCTTCTCTTGTGAATGATCCTTCCTCTAATCATAATCAGCCATCAAATTATGAACTGCTTGATTTTTCTATGCACCAATCACAAGCCCAGAGCCAGGCTTCTGGACACCCTTCCTCTCTTCACGAGTCTCCACAATCTAGTAATGGATTTTACCTACAGGTCACCAAAGATGCTCTAAAAGTGGAAGGGAATGCCTCAGTCCAGACTCCAACTTCTTCATCTACCACACAGGTACCACCAGCACCCTCTCAAACAGCTCCAAACACCCAGCAGCCCCCAGCAGAACCTCCTAAGGTATTAGATTCTCAGGCTGCACAGCACGGACAAAAAGATGCTCCTCCTGTTACAGCAAGTGGAGCACAACCCCCCAGTTACCAGTATCCTGCTCCAATACAGGGGCCATCTGCAGGAAATGCTCCTCCTCCTGGGCCTCAAGGTCCTCCAGGGGCTCCACAGACAACTCCTGCGGAGCCACCTCGCCCACCGTCCTCTGCAGGAAGCCATCAAGGCTATGGGCCTCCACCAGCACCGGGGCAGATGTATAGTGGCTATTATAATAATTATGGAGACTACCCAGATAACAGAGCACCATATCCTTCTGGCCAGTACCCACCTCCATCTGGGGATCCTAGAGCACAGCCATATTATCAAGTAAGTATAAGGTGTCCTTTTATTTAACCTAGCATGTGAATATTTATTTCCCAATTTCTATTGGTGCTCTTATCTCTTAGGCGGGGCCATACAGGAACAGAGTAGATCCTTGGTATGGCAGATATGAGGGGCAGACCCAAAGTTATCGTGATACAAACTACCAGTACAGAGAGCCTCAGCCAGAGCGTCCTAACTCTAGAGCCAGCCAGTACTCTGACAGGCCATCATCCAGGTTAGTGAAACTCACAAGATCACTTGCATGGTGTGTACTGTCTTTTCACGTGTTTCTGATTTATAAATTGAGTTTTTAAGTATCTTAAGAGGATTTTGAAAGTTAAAGAATTCCCTGCTGTGATGGTTTTGTTGGATGTAAAAAATTTGTGTTAATACATTGTACTACTTCATTCATCATTACCTTATCTTTGAATTTTTTTTTCTCTCCCCTTAAGGCAAGGCTATCACGAGGATTACCACAGAGCAAACCAAAGTGCCTATAGTGATTATTATGCAAATTATGCCAAGTACTTTGGAGGTATGGCTCATAGTGTTGAAAGCTTTGAATATTTATTTCTTTTTATTTTTTCTTAATTTATATCTTTCCCTGTCTCCGTTTCATATTTTCTGCGTAAAGGATACTATGGACACTATGACCCCAGATATAGAGGATACTATGACCAGTCCTACTGGGCTTATGATGATAGCAGAAGGGGAGACAGCTACAGCAATCAATCTATGTATCCTACCAGGTATGCAGAGAATACTGTTTGCACATCATGGAGTTGTTATAATATTAATGTACATTTACAGTGAGTAATAAAAGGCAGTGTAAGAAGTGTTATTGTTCATGCGTGTCTCATGGAAAAAGAAAATCTAAATTCAATTTACAACATTTCACTCACAGGAAGACTGGCTATGAGGACCAGTGGCAGTACTATCCTGGTTACGATGCTAGCTTTGATGAGGACTACCGTCGTCAGGGAGATGCTTATGGTGATGACTTTGACCGGCGCAGTGTCCACAGTGAACAGTCAGTCCACAGCTCCCACAGTCACCACAGCAGACGGAGTAGCTTCAGCTCACGATCGCAACAGGCAATTTTTTTCCCCACATATGTCTCACAAGTATTCTGTGTATGCAGTTATCTGGCTGAACCACAAATGGAGACCAGGCCAAAATTTATGAGTAATCACTGTAGAAATATTGTTAAAGCAAAAATTAATTTACAATTTTTTTTCCATGTATTTTTTTTTTATGTTTCATTTGCATTATAAATAATAATTCTCTCTCTGTTGCAGAGCCAAGTGTACAGGAGCCAGCCTGACTTGGTGTCAGCAGCATATGATAACACATCATCCACTCTGGCTGTGGATTACTCCTATGGGCAGTACCCAGATCAGACTGATGCATCTCACAACTATAGCCAGTACTATCCCACTGGGTATACCACCGAAAGCACCTGGAACGCCCCTGAGCAGCGTAAGTGCTGCATCACTCTTTGAAGCATTTTTTCATTTCTAAGGGTCCTTAGCTGAGTTGAATGGTCTGATTCTCTTTGTTTTTTCCCCTCTAGCCCCTCCTCGTCCTGCAACCCCAGAAAAGTTCACCATACCACACCGCTGTGCTCGTTTTGGACCTGGTGGACATCTTGTTCAGGTTCTGCCAAATCTGCCCTCAGCAGGACAGCCTGCTCTAGTTGATATCCACAACCTTGAGGTATGGCTTTAACAGACCATATTTCATTGATATATTGTTTTGTTTTTTTGGTTGGCTTTTTTTGTTTGTTTATTTTGGGTCTTTTGGAAGATGTTCCTTAAACTGTATTACTCCAGTTTCAATAAACCTAGCAAAATAAGCAGCACTAAAACTAATGAGCTGTGTGTCTTTTAAGGAAAAAATTCCTTTTTTTTCTATTTCCCATTATTTATCTCATTAAGATTATGGCGGATTTACTTTAGCAGACACAAAATGTTAAATGTACAACACTAAATGATCTGAAATCACTGACACTTAAAGACCACTAGATTGTATGGGTTGATTCACACAGCTTTTCCCATAAAGTAGGAAAGAGACGAGATGTCTGCTCATAGTCCCAGTAATACTGAGCAATAACCTTTGAGCAGTATGCAGGTAAACATCCTGTGCGAAGGGCAAAAGAGAGATTGCATTAGCTAGAATGCAGTCTCAAAACCATCAGCTGTTGTCTAACAGTGATTTAACTTTTTGTTAATTTGAATTTATCTTCATTTATAAACAATGACTAGCAGATGGAACAGTATTGATGATATCCATTATCTTCTGATAGAATCCCTGAAGTAACTGTTAGCATTTGCCCGTAAACTTACACTGAATGCTTCTGTGGATTTTTGGGAATATATATATGACCATAATCTGAAGGACATCTGAAGAATTATTATATCCTTTACCTGTATTTATAGACCATGCTGCAGGATACCACTGATCAGGCAGAACTGCGAGGTTTCCCTGGACCTCTTGTCAAGTAAGGGAATTCTACCTTCTTTGTGTTAAGATGTATGTAACCTTCTGCACAAGTGTCCTGTGGAGGGGGTGGCTACACGCAAAGGGGGAGTAGAAGTTTGGAGGGTTGGCTTTTAGGTGGTTGTGCAAAGGAAGGCGACCATTAAAGTTGGAGTTCTAATGTCAATTGTCTGATTATTGGACTAACATTGAAAGCTGAATGCTCTGAGAGATACGAAGAGCTTTTCGCAAACAGCTGCAATCCATTGTTGACAAAAATGAAATTGGGGCCGAAGTCCATTATAAAAGGACAGACTGTCATGAGTGGAAAGGTCCAGGTGTGGACATTGGCCAAGGTGTAGTAATATTTGCCAGGCATGGAGGAACCTATGTCAGAGTACACCAGTCTAGGCTCAGAAAAGTGGATGAACCACAAGTGAAAATGGAAGAAACTGAAGAGGAAAATCAGATTAAAACAGATGAAAATCTTTTAAAGACCCCAGCAGTGGTACTTGGTGAGGAACACGATTTTTGAAAGCAAAAGTGAGGAGATGGCCTCAACAAAAAATGAACTGCTTGGTACTACAGAAAACAGTCCTTCTGTGATCCAGTACAAGCTAGAGAAAGAGGTCCTACACTTTGTCTTCTCACAAGCCAAACAAACTGAACTTGACAACTGGAAAAGAAACGATGTGTTTAAAGAGGAGAAAGACAAGGATCAGAAATGTATATCAACAAGGTGGGTGTGCACACTCAAGGAAACACCAGTGGGCATTGTACCCAAAGCTAGACTGGTTGAGTACGTTAAAAATTTTAATCGAGTTAATCATGATGGCGGCGTTAATACATTTAAGCTGCGTTAACGTGGCTCAGTTACCACCGGTAGAAGCACAGAGCAAAGGAACTACATGAAATTGAATAAATGTGTTTATGGCCTGGCAGGTGCTTCATTATTCAGGTAAAACAGGGTGAAAGAAACCATGCAGAAGCTGGAGGGCACAGTGTCAAAAGTAGATTCAGCTGTCTTCTACTGGCTAGATGATCTCTATAAGGTGACAGGGGTACTTGCATGTCATGTAGATGATTTTATGTGGGGTGGTTCAGACATGTTCTCCACAGTAGTCATCCCCAAACTGAAAGCTGCTTTTCAAGTTGGACGAGAAGAACATAACAGCTTCAGCTACGTCTAGAGCTTCATTCTCTTCAGTACAAGAAGATATGTACATTTAAAAAAACAAAAAAAAACCTACAGCCTATTCCTATTAATCCCACAAGGGCACCACACCCATGATTGGACAGTTACTGTGGGTAGCAAGACAGAGCAGACCCCAATCACAAAACATGCTACTATTCAGACAAAGCACTGCACCAACAAACTGATCAGAAAACTTCAATCAGAGGTGGTTACACTGAGTTTTTAGTACTTGGGAGAAAGCAAATCCCTCAAATTAGTGGTGTTTAGTGATTCCTCGATCGGAGCCTATAACACACTAATTTTCACTCCTCATACGAGAGCGTCAGCACCGCACTCTCCAAAATGAGAGACTGGGTAGCCCCAGTGTTGTGCAAAATTACAATCTGCACACGATCTTCCTCTTTCCCACTCAGTGAGACGAACCCTTTTGAAATGAAAGGTCAGTAACTGCTGTCAAGGCAGTCATTTCCTGGTTCATCCCTGACGGGATTAGGAGTGGACACCGAACGAACGAAACCAACACTTTTTGGCTTTTTCGAGGTTTGAGCTTGCTCTTTGCGGCGAAGCAACGGTCAATTAGCAATGAGATGTCCAGTGTCATGGCAATAAAAGTATTCACGACGAGTCATGGGAACCGGATCAGGGCGCGTTTGACGCTTAGGAGAAACCTTTTCATGGTGCACAGCTGAAAACAAAAACTCATCTGTGAGAACAGCAGCTTTAGAATCCACCTTTTGCTCACTTAATATATAATAAAATCCTTCACTTTACTCACAGCTAACCACTGGGCCACTTTAAAGTGGTTGCGATGCAAAGGCGTTAAAGTAAGAATCAACCTCACTTTCTCTGAAAGGTGACACTAAGGCAACTTGTTTTCTTGCATTGAACTGGTCTGAAGAGAATGTCTCGGAAGTTTTGCTCTCAGGGATAGACTGTGTTCCTGGGAAGGATCCAGCTCCATAGCCCTTACGCGGAGATGCATAAGCTCAGCTTCTTTGGCTTTAGTCTCAAGCTCCACCTCTTTCAGGCAAAGGGCGAGCTTGATATCCTCTGTAACCATTCCTGCCTGTAACTGACCAGCTGGTTCAATGTTTGGGACCTGAATGGCAGCAGGAGCCTCCGCCCCAGTGTCATCCATCCACTGACAGCATGTGGGATGGTTGCTGCAGCTTCTGCTCCCACATCCACCACCAAACTCTCAGAAGCATCAACCAGTTGAGGTTTCACCTTCGCAGTTATCCCCTTTTCCACCAGATGCTCTGCCAGACACTGCTTAATTTCTGCTTTTCGTGCATTTAACTAACATACACTAACATAAAACAAATTAGCCACAAACAACAAATCTGCCTTTGTGCATCATTGCAACTTATCCATGGTGGGCCGTTGTGCAAAATCATCCACATCAAAAGTCATTGTGACTAGTGTACCCCCTACCCTACCAGAAAACTGCCAACCAAAAGCTGTAGACAAAAAGGAAGTGACGCCACCCTTGTCCCCAAAACCATACCCAGAAGCCAAATTTCAAGTGAAAAGTTGTTTTGTCTAAACTGAAAGCTTAACTCTGGGGTGAACAAACGCCAAAATAACAAACATTCAAAAAGGGAGGTGCTACCTAAAACCTAAGTGAAACAAAAACCAAACAAACGACAGGTGCTACCCCTAACTCCCTAACTGAATAAACGGGGGAAAACGGTGCCCCTATTTACACGTGATCCATAATCTATTTACAAAGCTCAATAATCAGGAAAGCACAAAAATCACAGAGGGTTTTGGAGGCCAAGGTCGGGTCTGCTGCTGCTGCTGTCAGTTGCTGCCCCGGGAGAACTGCTGGTGAGGGATTTTCAAAGCAGCCACATGATCAAGAAGCCAATCAGCAGCAGCCAGCTTTCCAATTAGGAAGAACCTGAAGAGCCTCTTAAAGACACAGACCGATAAAACTAAAACAGCCACCAGGATTCAGCTTATGGCCAGGGCCGTAACAGCAATTAAATGCATCTAATTCCTAGGCAGAGCCTAAAACTCCCTATTTATATTGAATGCATCATTGACTGCTTTTCTGTTTTAATATTGCATCTTGTCCATCAGGGAAGAGACTCACAAGGTGGACGTGATTAAATTCTCCCAGAACAAAGCATTGGAGTGTTCCCGTGATAACAACCTCTTAGACAGAGACTCTGCCCGCCTCCTCTGGGACTTCATCATGCTGCTATGTAGACAGAATGGGGTAAGACTGTGCAGGCACCACTAAACTTACCATACATTGAAATTAAGGCAAGACTGTGGCTTTTCACATTTGCGTGAGACAACGTTTTAACTCGTACTCTGTTTCCTCAGACTGTTGTGGGCACAGATATTGCTGACCTCTTGCTGAAGGAGCATCGCTCTGTCTGGCTTCCCGGCAAGAGTCCTAATGAAGCCAACTTGATTGATTTTAATAACGAGCCACTGGCGAGAGCCGAGGAAGAGCCTGGAGCCGGACCACTGTCTCTACTGTCGGACACTTTCATGACTGTCCCAGAAAATTTCGGCAAAGAAACAGAACGCTTCAGGGAGCTGCTGCTGTTTGGCCGAAAGAAGGTAAAATTGTACATAAGAAATGCAGTATGAGGTATTAACTTGCAAGATTTTAAATACCTGAACTTTGTTGAATTAGGATGCACTAGAAGCAGCCATGAAGGGAGGTCTCTGGGGCCATGCCCTGCTATTGGCCAGTAAGATGGACAACAGGACTCATGCCCGAGTCATGACGAGGTAAAGAATCAGATGTGAGAATAATTAACTTTGGTCCTATTTGTTCTATGATTGTTATTACATTATTTTGTGTGTGTGTCTTTGTTGTGTAGGTTTGCTAACAGTTTGCCCATAAATGACCCTCTTCAGACAGTATACCAGCTGATGTCGGGGAGGATGCCTGCGTCAGCCACCGTAAGTGTTGTTTTACCCTCCTTAAGCCAAACACACTGGAAGTGTTTCACAGTCACTTGTGGACAGGCTCCGATTGCCTAGATGACCCCCTAATGTATTTACTAGCAGGCCATATATCCTTCACTGGTATTCTTCACTCTCATTGGTAGTCTCTTCAGTCACTTGCCTGAAAGCTTATTGCAGGTCCTACCCACTTCACCTGTAGTCACTTGAAGGTGCCAAATATCATTCACTTTCTCTGGTGGCAATAAATCACTTCCAGTATGTACTGTAGCTTTAGACACTTGTTTTAAAAAAAAAAAAAAGCCGTGTTTATTTTGCCCTGGCTAACATATGTCTTGTTCCCACACAGTGCTGCGGGGAGGAGAAGTGGGGGGACTGGCGTCCTCATTTGGCCATGGTGCTGTCAAACCTCACACACACCCTGGATTTGGATACTCGCACAATTACCACCATGGGCGACACACTTGGTAGGGTTTTGTCAAGAATTCAGTAATTAAGAGCGCTGGCAACAAACATGCACCCTTAAACTCTGTCTGCACTCATTTTGTCTCACGCCAGCTTCGAAGGGCCTGGTTGATGCAGCACACTTCTGCTATTTGATGGCTCAAGTTGGTCTTGGCGTTTTCACAAAGAAGAGCACCAAGATGGTCCTGATTGGCTCCAACCACAGGTTAATGCAATAACCACACCCACGTAGCTCCAAGATGTTAAATTTAAAAGTCCTCACATTTTATAGAAAACATCATGTGTAACCTCATCTTTGTTTTTTCAGTTTGCCCTTTTCTCAATTTGCGACTAATGAAGCAATCCAAAGGACTGAAGCCTATGAGTATGCTCAGTCTCTAGGCTCCCAACCTTGTTCGCTGCCAAATTTCCAAGTGAGTTTTTTTTTTTTTTTTTTTTTAAACCAGTTGACAAACCAATAAATAATATGTATAAACCAAGAACTTTATACACGACTGCATTATTTACAGTGATGTTTATCATGTTATATTACTAAGAAGTATCACTCTCTTCTGTTCTTCTTGTCTCTCATTAGGTGTTTAAATTGATCTATGCATGCCGCTTGGCTGAGGCAGGCTTGAGCGCTCAGGCCTTCCATTATTGCGAAGTTATCTCGAAGACCGTCCTTGTGCAGCCTTCTTACTACTCCCCCGTTTTCATCAGTCAGATCATACAGGTATACACTCATTCTCCTCCTCTTTAGCTGTGTTTTTTGCCTAAATATAATTACTTAAATACTTTGCAGCGTTGCATTCAGACAAAGGTTACTGTTACACTGTTTGTCAACAGATGTCTGAAAAGCTGCGGTTCTTCGATCCACAACTGAAGGAGAAACCAGAGCAGGAGTTGTTCATTGAGCCGGAATGGTTGATTCGCCTGAGACAGCTGGATGGACAGATCAAAGTGAGGAGAAGGAAAAACATTGTACTCTAGTTCTGTTGTGACATAAGCAGTTGTCATATAGGGAGGTTGTGTAAACTTCTGAATAAAAAAAAATTAGGCTGTGTATAATAATTATGTGAACATTTTTAACAGTTTGTATCAATGAAACAAATGTTTGATGCTTTGTGTTTCTTAGACTGGTCTGATTACGTACAATGCAGACAGAACAACTCCGACACAGTTTGAGTGCAGCAGCCCTAGCTCTGACTTGGACCATCCGAGCCCACCAAACAGCATGTCGCTAGATAACCCAGCCCCTGATAACCCACTCATGAGCTCATTACTGCCTGGGTCTCCACCACAGGGAGTCCAGTTAATGCCTCCAGGTTTGTTTGTTTGTTTTTAGGGGGCCTTTGGTTCATTTTTTTTTTTTTTATTTATCTGAAATGTCGGGTACATTTAAAACACATCAAATCTCATCTGTTGTATTCTCTTTTAGCTTCCACTTTCATTCTCCAAGATGGAATGGCTCCTCCTCAGTTCTCGCCTTCCAGTGATGTGCCCCAGTACTATCCGGTCCCCACTAGCGGACCACAAGCCCAGATTCCCTTCCCAAACTACCCCCCACAGGATCCTGGCTTTGCTTCTCCCACTTTCCAACCTCAACCTGAGCAGTCAGATCTGTATCCAGGAGCCCACCAGCAGCAATGTCCCCCTCATCAAGTGACCCAAATGTCACCACACATGCACCCTCAGATGCCCCATTCACCTATACATCCACCAGCCCAGATGGCTCAGCACATGCCTCCGCACATGCCCCCGCACATGCCCCCTTCTCCTGGGCACATGCCACCTGTAGAACAGCCACCGCGGTCCCCAGTAGAAATGCCGAACATCCAATCAATGCCATCCTCACCACGTAGGACCTCACTGACTCCTCAGAAGGACTTCTATGATCAGATGGCTAAGATGGTCAGTATCTGCTAATGTGAATATATCTTCTTTTTTTTTTTTTTTTGTAAAGAGCCTTATACAGTGTTTTTGGAAAAGTTATAATTGTTTTATATGCATTTTTTTTTTTAAACATTTTATAAAGTCTTAGTGTGTTACCTTCTGCAGGGTCACGGGAGACCTCGGACTACTTCACAATCGTCATTGCATTTGGTATGTTTGTATTTCAACTGCTAGCATATGTAATTCTACTTAATTTGTCCAGTTCTAGTGTATATTAGTCATTATCAGAACTGAAAATGAGCAATAAAAGACTGGCTGTCTTTGCATATCCGCTCAGAAACAAGGCAACGCTGCTAATTGTATACAAGACATTATTTTTAGGTTGGCTTTAGATTTTTTGTAAAATGTCCCCAAATACTACAGTTTGCTTGAAAAGTAGGCCTGATTACAGTTTTTAAAAACTAAGATGAAGATCAAGAGATTATAGCAAAGTTAAAACCTGCTGTCTGAATTTCCCAGAATGCAGCTTTTGCTGCTAGGTTTACTTTGTTGCTTCTAATATTCTCATTTAACAAAAAAAAAATCTGATTTAGCCCATTATCTGCAGTGGAGTAAATGTTTTCACCAAGACATCCTGGAGGAACTTAAATCTAAGCCTACAAGTAGTTTTATTCTGACATAACCCATCTATTTAACAATAGATTTTTAGAATAGTATAGAATAGCCCTTTGTTGTCATTGTACAGGTATAACAAAATTGTGGGTGCTTCACACCAACTGTGCAGGAATGCAATAGAAATATTAAGACAGAACAAATAAATAACAAACAGGAGGAATGTATACGACATAAGAGAGAGGCACACATTCAAAACACATTTAGATTTTCTTGTTGGGAAATTAGAAATTAATCAATGTTTTGATGTTTTACTTGTATGCGTTTGCCTAAAACAGATAAAAAGGTATCAGGAATCAAGTCAGTATTTATAAAACACCATCCCTGCGTAATAAGTTAAAAAAAAATTATATGATGATTAAAAGAGGTCGTATCTGGAGGTCTATGCATTTCATTTATATCTGTATTTTCTGTCATCCAGTCATCAGGACGCCGCTCCCGTACCACCTCGGAGTCTTCTACTCACTCTGGTGGAAGAGAGCGGAGCAACTCAACTGTGGTGCAAGCCTCTCCACCTCCACCCTCAATCCCCGAGCAGCCCATTAAAGAAGAGGCCAAGAAAGTCAAGAAGGACTCTCCAAAAAAGGTTCAGTTTTACATACCGGCTCTCAGGTTTTCAGTGTGCACTGTGGTCACTGTGCTAAGTAGAATACTTATTATCTTTACACACACAGAAAGGGGTTGGCTGGCTGGGTTGGATCATTGGGAAAGGAAAGAATGAAGCTCACTTGCCGGATGACAAAAATAAGTCTGTAAGTTATAGCTTTTACACTTTCGCCTTTTTTTTTTTTCTTGTTTACATTACCTGTTCTACAAATGTCATACACTTGTTTGTACATGCGGCCAATATGAGAGTACTGTGATCTTTGTCAGATTGTGTGGGATGAAAAGAAGCAGAGATGGGTCGACTTGAACGAGCCTGAGGAGGAGGTCTGTAAAAATGAAAATGTGTTCTCCAGGCTGGACCTGTAGTGTGCAGAAAGCCTGAATGTCTTACAAATCGAACACTTCTAACTTAGTTTTTCTTCTAAACTCTTAGAGCAAGCCACCTCCGCCGCCACCCTCTGTCTTCCCCAAGATGCCTCAAGTTCCTGGTCCTGGAGGGCCTGCTGCACCGCCGAGTAGTATTCCTCCTGTCAACATGTTTTCCAGGAAGGCAGGTGAGATGAGGATTACTCAGAGTGGCTTTTGGCTAAACAAACCACATCCTTCACCTTGCATAATGCATCTAAAAGTAGAAGCATGTCTTCTCTTATAGGGCGCTTTTAACTCAGATGTGTTTGTTCCCTCTCAGGCACGAAGAGTAGATACGTGGATGTTTTGAACCCCAGCAGAGCTGCTAAACCTGGCGGTCCAGCTCCTGCTCCAGCGGACATCTTTGCTCCTTTGGCGCCAATGCCTATTCCTACAAACCTGTTTGTGCCTAGCTCAGGTGTGTATCATGTGTAAGATGGCATAATAACTTGTATTCACCAGCAGCATTTGGTGGCTGTAGAGGATTTTCTGCTTTTAAAGATTGAAGTAATTCCATGTTTATTTGTATCCCTGGATTAGCTCCCGATGATCAACAACCTCTGGAAGGCAGTGAAGGAGGCAATCAGGAGCAGAACTCTCCAAACACCAGTGCTGGTCCACAGGTATCTCTACTCTTTACTAGTAATCCTCAATATTCTTTATAATCATGAACTTTACTCCTGTTCTTCATTTTTAAAGATATGTGAAAAAATGCATTAAAAAGACAAAACATAAGCAGCATACTGAGAAAGAATGTAAGGCAGTCATCAATAAGTGCAAAAGAACAGCTCTACTTATCCAAACTTCTTCTGTTGCGCTTTTTAAAAATCTGTCTAGATGTTCACCCCAATGTTGTTACCACCTGCCCCAGAAGGCCCTCCAGTGCCTGATGGCTCCCATTCTGGAGAGGTAAGCCTAAGCCTCCTGTCATAATGCAACTGAAACATGATGCTTGACTGCCAGTGGCCAGTGTGCGCACTTTGCTCTTTGTAATATTAATGTAGGAGCGAAAGAACATGATATTATATGCATGTAGAATTAAAATCTTTCCTCATATTCATGCTAAATGCCTTGATAAATAATACTCTGTTCCATGTGCTGGTCTAATATAATTCTTTCCATGTCTGTTTTTCTATGAACCATGGTTTTATGCTGATTTATTCATTTTCATTCTGAAAACTAATCCAGTGCATGCCAGGTTATTAAAATGGGTTTGTTTGTTTTTTTAATTTTCCTCCTGCTGTCTGTAGCTGTCACGTTCTAGTTCAATGAGTTCTTTATCACGCGAAGTGAGTCAGCATTTAAACCAGGTACCTCTAGCTGGGCTTTAAGTTAACTCACCCCTGCCTGCCACCCTTGTAGCTCACTCCACATCACTAGTAGCATGCTTCACTGCACCCACCCAAAGCTTCTTTGCCCATTAAACCCCGCCTGTTGTCTTCACCATTACTAACTCAACATAACACAAATGGACAATAAAATCGGAGTATAGTTATATAGTTGTCGCCGAAAAGAGTGTTCACACTTCTGTGGTGTAGAAAAGATGAGAATTCTATTAACTTTGGTTATATATTGTTTTTATTGAATGGATTGACTGCAGCACTCCCAGTCCCATACCTCTAGTTCTCAAAAGATTGTCATCTCTGTCTAACCTAGTCCTGTTAGCAAGTTAAAAGTATTGAGATTTGGAATGAATTGCCTTGACATCAATTGGACTGCCATAAAATTACACATAAATACAGATTCATGCTATCATGTTGTCTGATGTTTTCAGGCATCATTTAATTTGCTCAGTTATTTGGTTTAAGATTTAGTGCGTGCAAAATTATGTCATCTGATCTAAAAATGGAAGTCAATATGAAAGTGTCCTAAATCTGCATTCTTTCCAGTAGCCAGCAGGGGGTTAGTCTCTGGTTGCAAGAAAAAAAATCTGATTATAAAGAAATAGATGAGGGGAAAAAAATCCTACTTCCCATGTGATTTATGAGCACAGTAGAGTTTTTCATATTGACTTCACAGTTTTACGCAATAGTTTTAATTCTTCTTCAAAACAGCATGATGTATATTTTGGAAAATATGGTCACATATGTATCATACACATAAACGCATATATATCTGTAATGCTGCCTCGCTGTGTCCTCGTGTCCTTACTGCTTTCCCTCATTTCCTTGGCTTCTACAGTGGCTTGCAAAAGTTTTCGGCCCCCTTGAACTTTTCCACATTTTGTCACATTACAGCCACAAACATGAATCAATTTTATTGGAATTCCACGTGAAAGACCAATACAAAGTGGTGTACATGTGAGAAGTGGAACTAAAATCATACATGATTCCAAACATTTTTTACAAATAAATAACTTAAATGTGGGGTAATTATTCAGCCCCCTGAGTCAATACTTTGTAGAACCACCTTTTGCTGCAATTACAGCTGCCAGTCTTTTAGGGTGTGTCTCTACCAGCTTTGTACATCTAGAGACTGAAATCCTTGCCCGTTCTTCTTTGCAAAACAGCTCCAGCTCAGTCAGATTAGATGGACAGCGTTTGTGAACAGCAGTTTTCATTTCTGATCAGCGCTCTCCTTGTTTGGCCTATGAGTTTAGGTGGACGGCCTTGTCTTGGTAGGTTTACAGTTGTGCTATACTCCTTCCATTTCTGAATGATTGCTTGAACAGTGCTCCGTGGGATGTTCAAGGCTTGGGAAGTCTTTTTGTAGCCTAAGCCTGCTTTAAATTTCTCAGTAACTTTATCCTTGACCGGTCTGGTGTGTTCTTTGGACTTCATGGTGTTGTTGCTCCCAATATTCTCTTAGACAACCTCTGAGGCCGTGACAGAGCAGCTGTATTTGTACTGACATTACACACAGGTGTACTCTGTTTAGTCATTAGCACTCATCAGGCAATGTCTATGGGCAACTGACTGCACTCAGACCAAAGGGGGCTGAATAATTACGTACACCCCACTTTGCAGTTATTTATTTGTAAAAAAATGTTTAGAGTCATGTATGATTTTAGTTCCACTTCTCACGTGTACACCACTTTGTATTGGTCTTTCACGCGGAATTCCAATAAAATTGATTCATGTTTGTGGCTGTAATGTGACAAAATGTGGAAAAGTTCAAGGGGGCCGAATACTTTTGCAAGCCACTGTATTTTATACTTTGGTCAAATCTGTTTGTGAGTTGTCTTGCTTTCCATCTCTGCTCTAAAGTGATGTTAGTGTGACACTGCACACACACTTCAGTAACTGAACTTGTCTTTGGACAGAGCGATCAAGCCCAGGGGACTGCACCCGCTGGGGGCGTCACCTTTTATAACCCCTCACAGTTTGCACAGGTATGAACTCCAAAGTTTCAAAAGTTTTGCAGTTGTGAGAAACCTTTACAGGGTTTTTTGGTGTGGGTTTTTTTGTTTTTGTTTTTGTTTTGTTTTTTTGGCTACTTTTCACCCTACAATCACCTTTCCTTGCTGCTGTTTTTCCTCAGACAAGTGCACCATCAGGAGTACGCTCAGGTCGTTTGGGCGGTCCGCGTCAGTACCCAGTGATGAAGTAAAGAACATCCCACTGAAAGAGCCAGACTTGTTGGATAGCAGAGGATTCTAGCTGAAAGTAAAAGAAGCACATGAACAAACTGCTTTATGTCTTAAGGACCCTTCTTCCTGCCTGTACCTAAGAAGAGTATAATCATATTATCCGTCATGTCAGAATTCAACCCTTTTTTTCTTTTTCTTTTTTCCGTTTCCCCCCCCCC